AGCTTATGCTGTGTTTTCCTTATCATGAAGCAACAGTAACCTTCGAGAAAGAGAATTTAATCCTCTGACACGCTCCACCTTCACTAATAAATCCAAATGCAGAGTCAAACCCCATAAAGTCAAGTACTCTCTTCCTTCTCAAGAAAAAAGTCCACAACTCGTAAAGTATCCTGTAAGAGTTTTAAAACGTAACCTAACAATATTCCACTATTAAGGAATGGATTCTTTAGCAAAACTTCAGCACTTTAGCATTTGTTAAAACATCAATTGAAAATACCGTATCGATAACAACAACTCTAACTCATTGAGACTGCCTCTGACTTTACGACTGTTCAAAATTATTTAAAATGGCTTTTTAACATTGTCGTAGGTTAATTTATAAGATTAAGAATTATTATTGCTGTTAATACTTCTGTACTATTCCAACGTTAACAATCATAATTTTTGCTATAAAGAACTTGTTCAGTAAATAAACGCTCTGAAATAATAAGGAAAAAGCAGGGGAGCCGAAGGCTAATAATACGCTTAAACCATTAGATTCTCAGTTCCATGTAGTCACCCTGAAGTTTCTTGTCATTAAATTAGGCTAGTTAAGCTCATCTAATAGCAACCAGCGTCAAAGCACCAAAAAAGTCTGCAGGAGGAGGCCAAGTTTTGAACCAAACAAATAGCCAAAAAAATACCGCCGTACAATTGTTAGATGTGTTAACAAAGTTTGGCGAACCGCGATGATAACACGCAGATGACGAGTCCTAATACAAGTGAAAAGATGATGACTGGTCAAGTACTGAAAGAAATCAAAAATCACAGTTAACGATATCATAGATCTCAAAATGTGTTCGATACCAGTCGTAATTTCCTTAAACAGTGCAAAGGTTACAAATAAATTAATACCATTAGTTGAGAAAATACGAATGGCATGGAAGAGAGACAGTGGCTTTGAGACTTAGGAAAACATTATCAAAATACTGAAAAATTTAAACAGAGCCTACAAGCTCCTTTGAAAGCCCAACTAATGCTGCACCAGTAACTGTGACTACCACAGCAATTGCAAGAGTTCGAAGACTTTGGCGATCCTCAATTTCACGAAAATAAAATACGCTCCACGCTGCCGCACAAACTCCTGGCAGCATGCTGATTATCGGGAACGAAACTGCCTGAGACAAACGATCATTCGCGACAAACCTATTAAGGATGAAACTTTGCGATTATACCATTTACCGTTTTGAACGTTTTTGGTCAACTAAATGCGACATTTCAAAATAAACAGACCATGATATCTGAGCGATACTCCACATCCCACCCGTAATGAATGCCGGAAGTACAATGCGTGGATTGATGACAGGCCTGCTACGTTTATACAACACGTAAAGAAGAAATACCAATGTAGAAGTTACAAATATTCCACACTGATTTGCAAACACATACGAAGTACCTCGCGGAGAAACATCTTTAAACTAAACGTTGATACAAATAAAAATAACGCTCAATACAAGTAACAAATACTTATATTTAGTCCTGAGAGTTGAATATTTTACTTTGATGATCTACTAAAATTGAAACTTCCGCGATTTGACTTCTAACTTTGATCAGCAAACGGTGTAATAATTTGCAAACCTGATCAGGGTGCTGTTGAATGTAAATTACTGGAACAAAAGTGCAACCATAAAATGTACCAGCCACCAGCGACAACACGATACCACTGAAGAAAGCCCAAGATGAACCATTTTTAAAGCTTGATAAGTTTTAATTAAAATAGTTCTTTGCAATATCTTAAAAAGAGAGGTAACATGAAAAAAAA